CTGGGGATTGAACTCAGGGGGACTCAACCACTGAGTCACATCCCCAGCCCTATTTTGTATTTTATTTAGAGACAGAGTCTCACTGAGTTGCTTAGCACCTCGCAGTAAGTGAGGCTGGCTTTGAACTCATGATCCTCCTGTCTCAGCCTTCTGAGCTGCTGGGATTACAGGCATGCGCCATTGTGCCCAGCTTCGGATCCTCTCTTTTTACTTCTTCCTTTTATTTATTTATTTTTTAAAAAATTATTTATTTATACTTACACTAAGTATAAAAGCACCCCACTCCTCACATCTGTAGAGTCGATCCTCTTCCCTCTTCATTTTATTTTTATGTGGTGCTGAGGATCGAACCCAGTGCCTCATACAGGCTAGGCGATCGCTCTACCACTGAGCCACAACCACAGCCCTATTTATTTATTTTTTAATCAGCTCATAATCATTATACATGAAACTGGGGTAGGAAAACCTATAAATTGACTGTTTTACTCTTCTTCCTAAATTGTAATAATATTCATGAAATCAAAGGTTTGATGTGCTATTTACATTTTTTTTCTAATAGATATCAAACATATATGAATATTGAAATAAAAATATCCGTTTAGTTCCACAGTGGCTCACAGCACACCATTTGGGAAATACTGTTTTTGAGTTTACAACATAAGGAAATTGAAATGTCTCCCCCAGAGCTGACCTTCTCATAAAGAACACTACCCTTCCTCCCTAGAGTTTGCTTTCCATTAAGCTTCACCCAACCAAACATTGGGCCGTCTCCTAGTTTCCAGAGTCTAGAACCTTCTGCTCTCTGGGTAGAATTTGCCATTAAATAAGCCAGAGAGGACCAGGAGCCTGAGACTTTCCCCTCACCCTTTAACTCCTATGGACCCTTGTCCTGGGTCCTCACTTTGGTTCCCCAGGTTCCTGCCTCTTCCCCACCCCAGCATAAGGCCAGGAGAGCTCCTTTCTCATCTTCAAAATTTCCTTTCTCCAGCATCCAGTACAGTTTGCTCATCTTACCCATGCCAAGTGCAGAATGAATGAGGGAAACCCTCTGCCTAGGCACAGTGTGTGCACATACATGTGGTCTTTCTGGAGGCCATTCCATGGCTCTGAAGGTGAAACCCCAGGTATTCCGAGAGCATGAGGTGTCCTTCAGATCAGGTACGCAGCCTCGTATGTACGGTCTGATTCTTTCTCCTTCAGGGGTCCAGAGTCCTGGGATAACATGGCTGAGCATCAACTTTCAGTCCTGAGAGGTCTCTGAAGGGTTGGTTTGGGTCACTCTTTCTATCACAAAAGCTCCCGTTTTTATACAATCCTCTCTACTACCAGTGTATCTAGAAGTTATCGCACTGTGTGAAAATTCGTCATTTATGAATTTAAATCTCCTTTATTATTAAGGGGAATTTTTAAAGACACTTTCCCATTATTATATTACTGTCAATATGTAAAACTTCATATGCAGATGACAAGTGTTTATCATTGAACAAAGGCAGCTTACCTAGCTTTGTTCTGGTGATTGAAGCACAACATTTTCATTCCTGGGGATCCTGTACATCCACGTTTTATGCTTGAAGGATTGGAAAAATAATAAAAGTATTTCCCCGTGAGTGTGAAAGACAGAAACTGGGGCCTGTTCTAGAATAGTCAGGATCAAGGCATTTCATATTTATTCCTTAAAAAAAAAATCAAAAATTTATTTTGCAGAAGATATGAGATATCAAACTCGGGTAGAATATGATACCATACTATCTGAGTTCTTGATCTTTAAATTTGCCTTTATTTATGTATTTGAAGCTCAGCAGCTGCCTCCACACCTAACCAAGGAACTGTCGGCATGCTCACTCCCTCTTCTTCCTGGAGGGCTCATCTATTCCACATGATCTTTTTTTATTATTATTATTGCTGCTAAAAGAACATGCACAAGGGGTTAGGAAGGCTGACCCAAAAGAGTTGGAATTGGTCCAAAACATTTGACTATTTCTTGGCATTTGAGAAAGGACAAATCTTTTTATTATTAAGAAAAGTAATGTTCTCACTGTTCCCTGAACATATGCTGCCTTGAGCAGCTGTGTGTTCTGGGAGCCCTTTTTGTCACCAAGGGAACACTCTCAACGTGCCCTATGACCTTTCCATCAAAGAACTCAGAAATAGGCTCTCTGATTTTCCCTCCCTAGCTAAAAGTGGATGTGCTGGCAACTGTAGAAGGCACTCAGGCAATTCTTACACTAAGTATAAAAGCACCCCACTCCTCACATCTGTAGAGTTGATTCTCTTCCCTCAATTACCAGCTTGGGGAAATACTGGCAAAATACGTGTCTTTATTCCTGAAGTCCTCTGTCTTGGAAATTCCACATTTGTGACTTAAGTATGAAGCTCTGGCATCATTTAAACCAAATGGGCCCAAATGCAAAGAGGTTTTAGATATTGGACATATTAAGAATTTTAAAAACAGGAGATTGTTATTCACACCATTCACACTTAAAGACTGAATTTTATTTAGATGTCCCCCAATTGCAAACTGGTTTGAAATATTGAACATACTATGAAATTTAAACAAAAAAATTGGGCATTTACAATTCTGTGGCCAACTACATCATAGACATAACTGAAATACTGCCTATTTATATGTGTGCTTTTTTCCCTAAGGCAAGTCCTTGTAATATAAAGTTCAAACAAATACAGATTTTCAACATATTGGGATTAATCAGAAATAATCAAGGCAAATTCTTCTTTTAAATTTTTTTTATTTGTTCTAATTATTTATACATGACAGTAGAATGCATTTTGACACATCATACATAAGGAGAATAACTTCTCATACTTCTGGTTGTACATGATGTAGAGTTACACCAGTCCTATAATCATATATGCACATAGGGTAATAATGTCTGACTCATTCTACTATCATTCCTACCCAAATTCTTGTTACTCAAAGAAGGCCCATTTCTTTTCATGAATTTACATTATGAAGTACGATGTGATCATTGCTTACTTAACATCAGAGGCCTTCCCAGATGTTACCTTGGAGGAAAGAAAATGCTCTTTCATTGCTTTCCGCTTCTAAATGTGAACACCCTGGTATCTGTTGAGTTCATAGTCTATGGTGGGCCCTGGGGTTGGAAGACTGGATAAGACACAGTTCATGCCCTTGAGAACGTTTCTGTGCCCTGATCCCAGACCTCAAGGTTGAGCATCTGCCTAGTCAGTTCTTTGAATGAACAAGTACTGAAATTCACCCTGCAGGGATGGTCGGACCAAATGGTGGCGCAGGGGCAGGTTGTGAAAACAGGACATGGTCATCTCCATCTCCTCTTTCAAAGGCCTGCCACCACCTGGCTCCTTTTCAGCAGACTTGCCACCGAGACACCACTGGCAGGTAGACCTACGCATAAGCCATAGCCCTTCTTCAGTTTTTTTTTTTTTTTTTTTTTTGCCACAAACATTTACCTGAAAGGGACTGAAACAAGCAGCGTCCATGACGCGGGCCCGCTGTGACTGAACAGGGTGGAACACTGATGTTGGAAGACATACTAGAACAGCCACCTGGATTCTCCCTGTCATCTCTCAGCTGCAGGCCAGCCATTCTCATGATCAGGCAGGAGAACTGACAGGTGACTCTGTTTGATTCCACTTCAGTTCCTAGAGAAGTTCTCACGGAAGCTGGGTCTAGAGAGAGTTCTGCTTGGTCAAGTCTCAAAGGAGAGGCTGTATCTTGCCCTTGAACTGTGTTTCCCAAAGAATGAGTCACCAAGCCTGGGTGTTTGTTAAAAATCAAGATTCCTGCACACACCCAAATTTGCTGATCCGGAATCTTTAAGAAGGAGCCTTGGAAGCTGCAATTGTAACAACCTTCTAGGTTGTTCTTTAGCATACCAAGTCTGAGGAAAAGGTCCTCTAAGAGTCATCTGGAGAAACTGATTTGGACCCAAGGAATTCAGTAAGTGTATTCAATGCTTTTAGGGGAATGAAGATGCTTCAAAGAATCTCAGATCCCCTAATTTAGGAAGAGTCAGTGAGTGACATAGGTGAAATCTTTCAGTTAGTTGTATCCCCTGAAGTCACCGATAACCAAATATTCATTAATTAAGTGGTTCTCTTTCAATTCGTAACTTTCTGTGGCAAATTCCTGAAGGAAACACTGGTCAATTGAATTTTAATGTGAATCAATCTTAATAATTTTGTTTCTTTTTAACACCAGAATAAGCTTTTAAGAAAACTTAAGAGACCCCAGTGGCTCAGGAGGCTGAGGCAAGAGGATCACAAGTTCAAAGCCGGGCTTAACAACTTAGCAAGGACCTAAGCAACTTAATGAGACCCTGTCGCTAAATAAAAAATAAAAATAAATAAGGGCTGGGGATGTGGCTTAGTGGTTAAGCACCCCTGGGTTCAATCCTTGGAGCTAAAAAATAAATAAACTTAAGAGAACAGGAATTTTGATGTAGTACAAAGGGAAAAACACTCTTTGGAACATAAATATATAAATCGGATATCTTCATTATCTAACTCTCTACTACAAATATTCTGCCAGATTTATTTATTTGTTCACTCATTCTTATTGAGTCAATAAATTTAACCATGTATTGTTTATATTTTTGCAAAGTAAAAATAAATGCATTCATTTACTGCTTCTAGGTTGCTTCCACAGTTTAGCTATTGTGAATTGAGCTGCTATAAACACTGATGTGTAGGGTGATTTTGTTCTCTCCAATAAGTGGATGCTGATCCATAATGGGAGGGGGTATGAGAAAAATGGAGGAATTTTGATGGGGCAAAGGGGAGGAAGGGAAGGGGAGGAGGCATGAGGGTAGGAAAGATGGTGGAATGAGATGAACATCATTACCTTAGGTACATGTATATCTGCACATATGGTGCAACGCTACATTGTGTA